GTGTGTGTGTGTGTGTGTATGTGTAGTTTCGTCCTGGCTGCGGTGTCCCCGGCGGTCGTGGTCCCCTCCATGTTGCTGCTGCAGAAGGAAGGATTAGGCGTGGAGAAGGTAAATAATTCACCTGTTGTTCTTTAGTCTGCCACCAGGGGGAGCCGCTCTGCAAACGTTACTACATGTGCAGGCTGAACACAAAGAGCAATGATGGCATCCTTAGGTCCTTAAATGAGTACAAGAACCCCTAGGACCTCCTTAAATATCTCTATTATCTTTTCAATGAGTACAAGAACCCCTAGGACCTCCTTAAATATCTCTATTATCTTTTCAATGAGTACAAGAACACCTAGGACCTCCTTAAATATCTCTATTATGATATAGATGGGTGCCTGAGAAGTCTGTGGGTGTTTCTCAATGTCGAGGATGCTTCCTTGGTAGGACATGTCTTCCAAGTAAGGTCCATCAGAGGCTAGGCAAGAATCCTTCCTGGCATTCGGAGAACGAAGAATGGAACAGGCTAGCAAATGTGCAGGTGTGTATCATATGAGAGGCCCCGCCTTACATTTTACGCCAAAGATTTTGGAAATTGGTCCGTGCGCAAAGCATTGTGGGGATTTTAAGACTGCGGAGGATACACTTGTGCATCGTCGAAAATTCCCACAACGGAGGATTCAGTCCTCGGTAGAATTCCAAGGATCCTGGACATTGGAACAGTCCTTCGGCTGGATTCGATGACGTAGCATCCTTAAAATAGTGGCTCTGGAGGAGCCTTCCTCGACATTGAGAAACACCCTCTCTCTCCTCTTGGGTTGCTTGGCTCTATGGATTTTGGTTTGTTTGTCTTTGCTTTATATACTGATGCATGTTCGCACCCTACACACATTACTGATTAACGGACTTCATAGTTAACTTAGTTTCTTTAATAAATGTACTTTAATTCGATATGAATCATGTGTGGTCTCCTTCTTTTGTCCGCCCTTGAGCCAGGGCGTGACAGAGTACAAAAACCAATGGAACCTATATAATCTAAAAACAACTACAACCTGCCAGCATCAAACTGAAGTCCCCGTGAACGTATTCTCTGTATTTATATGATGCTCCATGATGTTCTGTGTTGTTGTTCAGGGAATCCCAACCCTCCTGATGGCTGCTGGGAGTTTTGACGACATTCTGGCCATAACTGGGTTCTCCACCTGTCTGGGAATCACCTTCTCCACAGGTCTGTAGAGGGGAATATACTGTTTTTATTTTATTTGGTTTTATCCTGGTCTATATATACCATGTTTGTCCTGCAGGGGCCATGTGGATGAACATCCTGAAGGGTCTGCTGGAGGTGGTGGGGGGGGTCATAGCCGGGCTGATCCTGGGTCTGTTCCTCTGCTGCTTCCCCAGCAACGACCAGGTGAGTGCTGATTAAAACGATGAACATGTGCAAAAATAAAATAGATTTAATAAATTAAAACATTAATACAATTGAGCAAGAATTTATGTTACATTGCAATCAAATAAATTAGTAAAATACCAAAAATAAGAAAAGATTGTGCAAAAAATAAATCAAAATGTTGCAAGAAGAAATTAAATAGTTCAGAAATTAAATTAAATAGGTGGTTGGCTGATCCTGGGTCTGTTCCTGAGCTGCTGTGCTGTTTTAGATCGAGACACTACAGGTGAATCATAGACTAGTTATTTAATGGCTCTCCGTCTGTCTGCAGGAGGACCTGGTTCTGACGAGGACTATCCTGCTGTTGGGTCTCTCCATATTTTCGGTCTTCTTCAGCCACGTTATTGGTTTTGCCGGAGCTGGCGGTCTCTCCACGCTGGTGCTGGCCTTTCTGGCTGCTCTGGGCTGGAAAACCGAAAAGGTAACACACAAGATATCTCACTTTAATCTGGATCAAACACTTGATTCAAAGATTCAAAGTTGTATTGTCATATGCACAAAGCTACAGTGTAGATATGGCAATGAAATGTTTCTGACCTGAGCTCTTCCAACAATGCAACATATAAAATGCAAAAACAAAATAGGACAAAAAGTCTATATACATGTAAATAGAATATGATATGTACAAGAAAAGAATGTGAAATTAAATAATGTAAATTAAGACAGATTACTTACTTGACCTCTTTACGCTACGTCTTTTAGTCCGGACTGTTTGAGTTTTTCATGCTTATCTTCAGGCTCCGGTGGCGGCCATGGTGGGTCGGTCCTGGGATGTTTTCCAGCCGCTTCTCTTTGGTCTGATTGGAGCAGAGATCAGAATAGCAAGCCTCAGCCCGAGCACCGTGGGTAAGAACCATGAGAACCGTACAAACAAACAGTGTTGTTGCTAACTCATGCCCTTTACGTTGGGCTAGATTGATATATAGGCAACTGAAACATTTGGGAGTCGCTGGATTTGTCCTTGAGTTTTACATGTGAACTTCAGCTTTTGTAATCACCTCTAGACACTCCTATAAGACTTCTTGAACCTCTTTGTCAAAGTCAACTTTATTGTCAATATTCCAGTTTGTGTATACAAACAGAGGGATCTAAATACCGTTCCCCACAATCTCAAATACAAAAACAAATATATATAAAAATATGTATGCAAAAATGTATATCCTATATATATCAAAAGACACATTTATACATATGCACACATTAAGAACTAAATAAAAGCAACAATCATTATATACAAAAATAACAGTCACTTCAATATGATGGTCTTTATTTCCTCCTCGAACACTGATTCCCAATCTGGGGGAAGCTCATCAAAACAACCATTCAGTTTGCTAGCTTCTTATTCTAAGCAAACTAGCTAGAGGTGCAAACGCTGTGTGAGTGTGGAATAAAATTGCAGGATGTGAAGTATGACTTGGCCTATAGCTTTACTTTCCAACATTTCGAACAGTTTATGTACGACTTGAGGAAGTTTAACACTCTTCTGTCGGGGTGTTCAGGTCTGGGTCTGGCCTGCATCAGCATCGGCCTGGTGATCCGTCTGCTCGTCACCTTCGCGCTGGTTCACTTCGCGGGATTCAACCTGAAGGAGAAAATCTTCATCTCTGTGGCCTGGCTGCCAAAAGCCACCGTACAGGTGTGTGTGTGAACCACCAAGATTATCAATAACACCTTCTTCATACTTTACCTTGAATAATGGGTAAAACAATGACTATAGACAGATAGACTATCGTACACCCACCTCCAGGAATCCTACAACGTCCTAGAAAGACATAAACTGTATACAAGAACTGGTTTAATCCCCATGACGTTAATTATTGGTTATCTGGAATTTATGGACATCAGGGAGTGGCCAGGTACCATTATCAGCTAATAAACTAATCAACATATGAGCATTACAAATCCCCCAAGGTAACTCTAAGGACCTCTATAACCTCTTCGATTACGTTTTAAAGCTTAATCAATTACCCCTAAAACCTACTATAGGATCGTTAAACCTTGTCAATGACACTATGAGATTACTTTAAGGACATATATGACCATAAACACCTCCCAATGTCCCCCTAGAACCCAATAACAGAACCGCCAGAACCTCCTCAATGAGACATGTCCACATCCAGTTAATATATATGGATTTTAAAACGTTTTTTGTTTGTTCCAGGCTGCTATTGGCTCCAAGGCGTTGGACATGGCGAGGGAGGAGGGTGACGAGACCTTGATTAAGTTTGGTTTGGACGTGCTAACGTTAGCCGTGTTAGCAATCCTGGTCACAGCGCCCATCGGAGCGCTTGGTATCGGACTGGCAGGACCACGCCTCCTGGACCGACAGGTCAAAGGTCAGCACACACACACAACTACACACACACACTCCCACAAACACATAATGAAGTCCTCACAATGCATCCGAGTCCGCTTTATCTCCATGTAGGTTTTCACATACAGGGACATTTCACAAGAATGTAAATTAAACATTTTTTACAGACTTGTGGAAATAATCACATTATGCAAATCACTTAAATAATTTTGATTTAATAATTAACTTTAATCCCAACAGATGATGCAGAAGGCGGAGCCACAGATCCAAGCTGCAACATGGTTGGTCAAGAAAAAGTCAACACGGCCCTCGAGAGCAAGCTGTGAGGCCTCTGATTGGACAAACTACAGTTTTATATTTCTTATATTCAAACCTTCTTCAGGTGCATATATACGTGTAAACATTTATATACTGTATGTTACTTTCATAGCTTTTACTAGCTATTTAAGCGTTTGCTTAAAGGAGCTGTATATGACGCAACGACTGCAGAAGCTAATTTATTAACATTTTCGAACCGACGACAAGTTAGTAACTATCAAAATAAGTTGTCAACATAAGGAGATACAATGCATAAACTGTTTTTATATGTAACACTTAGCTTTTTGGTACAGTTACTATTCATCAGTTTTTGTTATGTATGATTGTATGTTGCTTAGAAGTTCTTACGAAGTCTTGTACAAAGTTGTCCGACCACACCTAAAGTCTGTTTCCCGTTTTCTCTTATATCATTTAAACATGGAGATAAGGGAATTTATTTTCAGATATTTTGATTGACGTAGCACTCTCTTGTTCATACGAAAAGTTACCGAAATATTTGTATGATGAATGATAAAAGATAAGGTGAGAGGCTTTCAAACCCAGCATCCAAAATTGAGTGTTTCAGACACTTTTTAACGATCCAACAAGCACTCCTGTTGGTGTTATAGGTTGCTAATGGTAATTAGCTGAGCAGGTACTTTAGTTAGCGGGCTAACGCGTTGACATTATTTAAGCATACAATCAGTCAGAACTGGATTAATGAGGGAATATTTTACGTAAAAGCAGAAATTAATCAATCTAATCTAATTCTATTAATTGCTTCCAATATTATTGTAATTTTAAGATATTTATTGTAATAAACTGTGATTTGTTTCATGCTCTTTTTATAAAAGCTTAATAAAAACTTGAAATAAACATTGTTACGTTAAGTCATCAGGGTTGCCGCTTTATTTAAACGTACAATATGTAATTGTTTAGCTATTTCACGATGAAAATGTGTATTTCTCTGATGCTGTTTGGTTAAATTGGGATGGAAGAATTGCTAGCTAACTGCTAACGTTAGCTCAGCTTGTTTCTCTGGTAACTTCAGATCCAGACGTCCCATCACTAAAACCCTTCTTTAAACAGCACCAAGATGTAAACATGTGACTTAAAACTGGATAAAACGAGTTTATGAAAGCTTCTGGCACTAAAACAACGTCACAGGAGAGTAGAGGAAACAGGCCAGTCATTGAAAAAACATTGTGATGATGTAGAGACACAACTCAACAAGAAAAAAGGCTTGTGGTTTTTTCACATTGTAATGTCAGTAATGCCAGAGTTCACCTGAAGTCGAAGGCTTGATGTCCAATGATGTGTTTACGATCAGCATGTGTGCAGAGGATATAACACCTACACCTGCAGAAAGCATGGTGGAAACACTAGAGCAGAGGTAAAACAGAGTTGTTGAATTAAATGACAAATAAAGCTCGCATAGAAATTAAACATCAACAATGAGTGGGTTTTATACGAGGTTAGGGCTACTGTAAGTCAGGAATGACGGAGACAAGAGAGGGTGTCATACTGCGAGAACAAACTGAGAATTTTGAACATTAAAGTTAAATATTTTAGTGATTTTGTTTTTTGTATTTTTATAAAATTGAATTGGTTAATTTACAAGAGCGAACTTAAAACATTTGGGATAAAAACTCGTGGAAAACATAGATTTTTGTTTACAAAAGGGTGATTTCCTGGTTGACATCCAAATCCATTAATCCCACAACCAAATCTTGTAAATATTTTACAAGCAGAAATAAGTGAAGTATTCAGGTCACAGCTCCTCTTGACCATAACATATTTGAAGTCTATTATTTACAAAATGGACCTCTTCAATGAAGACAAACTACTTGAACACACACAGTAATGCTGTCTGGGTAAACTCATGTGATAGAACTTCACCCAATAGCAAACAACAATATGAAATCAACCTTCAGCGTATCTTGTACAAACAATGAGAGTTTCCTGTTTCCATCTGCTGCTGCAAACTCACACCTCAGACCACACTGCAGACATCTTCAAGAAACCACCTAGTGTGAAACCAGTTTGAACAGGATATAAAAGCTAATGGGGGGGTCTGGTACTGAGGGGCCAGACCATATCAAAGAACTGTTACATGTAATGTCTAAAATGATTATCCAAGCAACAATGAAACCTCTTGGAGGGGTAGTTAGTGTTCGTGTGTCCAAAGGTCTATAGCCTGAAAGAAACACAAAACTAAATACTATAAAACTCAAAAATACTCAATATTTATTAACTCAAACCTTTTGGCATTTGACCAGTAATAATAATAATACATTTTATTTCAGGCGCCTTTCATGACACCCAAGGACACCGTACGATTTGTTAAAAAAGAAAATGCTAATAGCCAGCAGAACATGATAAAAACACAAACAGGAAATCATGGAGGAGACAATCAAGTGGACACAAATGAAACATATAATGGGGAGCACTACAGTGAGTAGGCAGATTTGAACAGGTGTGTAAGAGAGCGGGTATTATTGGTTTAAGGGGAGCTGGACCTGGAGTTTGGTCTGAGCAATGCTCGGTGTTTCCCTCTGTTTACAGTCTGTATGCTAAGCTAAGCTAACCCTGCTAGGTATCAATCTTGATCTTTAGTAGGAGTAGAGTTTCTATTTGTGGAGGTCAGAAGTGTGTCTCTCTTTGCAGATGATGTGGTTCTGTTCGCTTCAACTTTAAGGTCTAAAGCCATGGCACTCTGCTGGAGAAAGGTGGATTGCTTTGTTGTAAAATGTGTTGATGCATATCGAGTTATGAGAAATGCAACAAATGCACAAAACATTGTGGTTTAGTAATCCTCTTACAGATCTTTAAAGCTTGCAATCATGGCGTCCTCCGAGTTAGTGACTTGTCCTGCAGCAACGAAAACTTTGAAGCCTGGTAGAATAAATTAAACCAGTCCACTTCAATGTCACTTTAGCTAGTTTAGTAAGGTTTATTCCAATGTTCCCAATGTCCTTAAACAAGGCCAGTAGGCAATGTTCCTAGCATCAGGCTATGACCTTTGTTCCTTTAAATGTAGGCCCATTGTATTGGAAATCGTACAGCATTGGTGGATAACAGATACCAAATGTAACTATTAAAAACAGTAACTGTGTTCATGATCTTTGGGTAGGGAACGTAACAATGGGAATCAGGATCGTCCTGGTCGAGGTCTTCCTGGTAAAAGTCCCAATGGTTTGACCCAGAAGACTATTGGAGAGATTATTTATCTAGAACGCCTCCAGATTTCCGAAGTTAAGACAGAAATCATGGCTAGAAACAATGACACCTTGCTTTAAAACTATTTTACTGCTGCTATTCATGTGGCTGTTGGTCTTTTAGTGAGATTTGTAACAAGAGGATGTGTCTCTACGTTAAAACGTCAGCAGGTATCATTTCCTCCCCCCCTCCCCCGCCACCATCGTGTGGTTTATATTCTCGATGATTTTGAGCCCCACCACATTTCCGACCAGAAGTCCAGAGAAGCTACAGACACCATGAGAACAACACTGCATTTACTCTGTAAGTAAAGTAGAAAGTGTCATTCAAACCTAATTATAATCACCAGGAACTAACTAACTTTTAGACTTGTTTCGGTTAAAGAATTCAAAGAAAGTCAAGATCTGAATGGTTGAACTGTGAGTTTATGTTTCAGTGACGTTGAGTTTCTTCCAGACGCTTGTCAACGGTCGTGGTAAGTTTTTTCAAACCTCATCTATTTGTATAAAACATTATTTAAAAACTATTTAAAATCTAAAAAGACTTGATGAACTTTGATGTGTGTTGCTCGCCGCTTCTTGTCTTTTAACGGTTTGTGCGCTTGTTGCAAAAAGAGGCCATCTGAGCAAATAAAAACATAATTAAAAGAAAGAGCCGTTCAAATGTCTACAATCAGAATGAGACTACTTAATATTTCCTGTGAGTAATATTGATTTCAAAAAATTAAATAAACATAAAAATATTAACAGAAGAACTTAAGGTGGCTCCAAAATGGTGGAATTGACATCAGGACAGCAGAAAGCTTACACATCTTCCGGCAATTTGAATACAAAATAAAAAGCACTTACATACTAACAGAACACTTAGATACTAACAAAGGACTTATATACTAACAGAACACTTAGATACTAACAAAGGACTTACATACTAACAGAACACTTAGATACTAACAGAACACTTAGATACTAACAAAGGACTTACATACTAACAGAACACTTAGATACTAACAGAACACTTAGATACTAACAAAGGACTTACATACTAACAGAACACTTACATACTAACAGAACACTTAGATACTAACAAAGGACTTACATACTAACAGAACACTTAGATACTAACAAAGGACTTACATACTAACAGAACACTTAGATACTAACAGAACACTTAGATACTAACAGAACACTTAGATACTAACAAAGGACTTACATACTAACAGAACACTTAGATACTAACAAAGCACTTACATACTAACAGAACACTTAGATACTAACAAAGCACTTACATACTAACAGAACACTAGATACTAACAAAGGACTTATATACTAACAGAACACTTAGATACTAACAAAGGACTTACATAGTAACAGAACACTTAGATACTAACAGAACACTTAGATACTAACAAAGGACTTACATACTAACAGAACACTTAGATACTAACAAAGGACTTATATACTATCAGAACACTTAGATACTAACAAAGGACTTACATACTAACAGAACACTTAGATACTAACAAAGGACTTACATACTAACAGAACACTTAGATACTAATAAAGGACTGGCTTATCTAAAGCCAGTTGAGTAGCACTTGAAATGTTTGTCTCTATGAAACCTGATGTACTTATATGATTCTGTTTTCTTCAAGTTTGTATCTTCCTGGTCGAACGCACTTATTGTAAGTCTCTTTGGATAAAAGCCTCAGCTACAATTAATACCGTACAAATGTGTATATTATAATTAAAGAAACTAAGTACAATGATCACGTAGCCATATTTTTTGCTGGCTCTTTTTTAATCTGTTATTAGATTGCAATATTTGAAAAGCATTGTAGGACTTTTAAATTCTTACCGCTCAATCGGCCATTTTCTGTCAAGTCCTTCGATTTGAAATGAACTTTTCAAAAGTGACGGATATTTCACAGCTCTTTAGACTGAAAAGTGCATAATGTCTGACCACGAACACAGTACATAGCCTGGTTTAACGCAACCGGACAAGTATGGAGTATTTTTTGGAAATAAATTAAAGGTTTGTTCCTCTCTCTTTCTTTCTCTCAGCGTCGGTGATGGTCATCCCCAACAGTTCTCAGTTTTTCGAGTATGAGAACATTTTGGTGAGCTGCAATAGTTCGAGCTCCTGGGAATGGACGCCGTGGAGAAACGATACCGACCTGTACGTTTACTGATACAAAATATGAATCTTATCTCGGTTTTACCGCATTAATATCATTAAAAACCAGCATATTGTCCATTTTTCACACTTTATTTATAATCCTAATTGTTTATATTTTGTTTATTTGCAATGTTTCCCACTTTTGTCCTCAGTTTTGTAGTATGCAGGGAATGTTTGAAAAGTTAGGCAATAAAAACATCTTCTGTTATAATGACATTTAACAGATTTACACAAGGTCACATAAAGCATTTAGTGAAATGCACAAATGTCTAAAATCAGAATCAGAAATATTTGTTAATCCACGGGGAGAATTGAGTTTTGTGACAGTTGCCCCACTTACATTTAAAAAAAAAAAAATTAATACAAAAAATAATAATAATAATAATAACAAGTTAATTAAATTAAAGTAAAATGAATAAAAAATATATAAATAAAATAAAATATTAATACATATTATAATTAAATGTATATCATCACAAGGGCTTACGGTAAACACATATGTACACATTTTTATAATATAATATATATACAGTGGTGTATTAATATTAATTTAGATATATAAATATATGAAATCCAAAGTTCATGAAGCAACAAAAACGGTTTATTTCTTATTTCTAATTTTCTTCTGTTTTATGTTGTGTTTCACTAAAATCCATTTAGAAAAAAAAAACACATGGAGCAACAAGGCTTATTGTTGCTATGAAAGATGAATGAAGCAGATTTATTTCCACTTGTCTTAATAATAAACTGATGTTGTCTCCTCAGTGTGAAGTGCGGATCGGGCTGGGGCAAACTAAGTGTGTCTACTTGTAACATAACCACGGTGAAGCTGTCCGAAGGCGGGGTGTTCTGGTGCCAGTCGAAATACGGAGACAGCAGCAACGGCGTCAACATCTCCATAGTCGGTAGGTGTCGTGGCGTTTTAAAACGTTTCTAACATTAAACAGCAAATAAGTGAGATTTAAATGAACATCTGTTAAAGCGTAGTGTGACTCACACAAATAAATAGTTAAGAGTTTACTCTAAAGCCTTATATTAATAAGACAAACATTCAAACCATAATGATGAAAGGAAAATGGCTCTAACAGTAGGATTCACAATTCATGACAAAAATCTAAAAATACTTTCTGTCCTCGCTCCTGTTTCAGTACAGCTTTTTATACGTGACCTTTAAAATCACATATTTGGACCTCAATGAGACTTTTCTGATTGGTATTTCCCAATTCTGGTTGTTAAATAATCATAATCCCAACAACATCTGGAGTCGAACACGTTTCAGACAGAGACTGGCTGGAATACACCTTGGGAATTCACATGATAGTTTTAAGGGAACAGATTACATTTAAAGGAAGTGGTTGGTATGAGTACAGACCACGAGAGGAAACACTACTATAGAGAGTCAGACCTAACGGGGAGTATGCTTCATGCATGACTACTTGGTGAAAGAGGTTCTCTTACTTTTTTACTGGAGAAAAAGTAAACAGCTACGAGGCAAGAAGTTCTGTTGAAACCCTCCTTATCGGACGAGGCTAGAAACCACCCAGAACTCTAAGGCGAAGGAGAGCTCTTTCAATGTTAACAACAATAAGAATAATTCAAGCCCTATCAATTAGAAAGGCTCAATAAATGATTTAGTTCTGTCTTAGCTCATACACAAAGTTTCATTAAAAATGGGGAAGTAGTTTTCTCAAAATTCTTTTGATTGGACGAGGCGAGTGGCAAACACCTCGAACTCTATTGTTAAGCTAACACATCGTCACACCCAATCAAACACCTGGCTCCAACATTTAAAGCTTTTTGCGTGAAGATGGTCCGGATGCTGTTTCACAACTGTTGTGGAAAATGGTATCAGACTGAAGGAGCATTTCAAGTTCACCATCTGTTCTTCTTTTTCTAACAACAAGTAGCAGCAAATAACCCACATGAGTCATAAATGATGTGAGAGCTATTCTAAGCTTACTGGTCTTTTCTCTTGTGGAGTGTAGACATGATGTTTCTCCATTTGCTAGCAGATGTGTTTTAAAGAATCCTATATATAGTTTGTTTATCTTTTCTGTTTGTCTCGGCCCCTCCTCTTCTATTCTCTGTGTGAGCATGTGCACATCAGACCCTCTGCAGACCTCCTGATGCAGACTGCTTGACTCTGTAACGATTCACCTTCCTTAAGAATAAACTCCCAAAAAGACCGTCTTATTCCAATAATCTTCATTTCAGTATAACGTAAAGGTTTCCTCCCATTTTATTATTATTAGTTAGTTAGTCTCGATACATTTCCACCACACAACTGTGTTTGAAAACTATTGAATCGTACAGCATTGTTGGGTAGCAAATGTAACTCTAAAAACATATTCGTAGTAACTGTGGTGATGACCTCTGGGGAGGGAACATGGCATTTCAAGTGTTGGCGTAAAGAAGGTCCAGATGCTGTTTCACAACTTTGTTTGAAAACTATAGAAACTAACAGCCTGCAAACCTCCATAAAACCCCTCAAACTACTCCAGGAAAGCATCAAGAGAAGTTTGTCCCTTGCCTTTTATTTATGTATTTTGTTATTTATCATCTTTGTCTCGTGTTCAGGTGGACCAGTGAGTCTTCAGAGTCCGGCCGTCCCCGTGACGGAGGGAGATAACGTCACTCTGATCTGCAGAACAAAGATGGCCGACCCCCCCTCTGCTGATTTCTACAAAGATGGCGTCTTCATCGGTGCTGAGTCTGATGGTCAAATGACCCTCTACAATTTTACCAAGTCTAATCAAGGCGCCTACAAGTGTGGAGTCCAGAATAAAGGAGAGTCTCCAGAGAGCTGGGTAATAATGGAAGGTTAGGACACACACTCTTTATGTACATTACTTAAATAGAAAAACACTTTAAAATAGTGTCTGGTTTTAGATTAGTGTGTTTCGTACAATAAGTCAATACAACATGAACATCTTTTCAGTTTGATTACATTTCAATGCCGTTAAAAGTCTAGGCAATGCAAGTCAGAAATTGGAAATTTAGAAACATAATGAAAAGGTAGATATTTTGGGAATAAGACAGAAAAGTAATGATGTATACAAATTCAAAAAATAACCCTGAAATGTTGGTTCCAATAATTCATTGGAACCAACATTAAAAAAATTCAATTGCCTTGTGTTGAAAGGTGCTATATTAAAGCTCACCTATTCTGCAAGCTCCTCTTCTTCATGTCTCTTCTACATCAACATGTGTCCCCTCTTCTCCATGTCTCTTCTACATCAACATGTGTCCTCTCTTCTTCATGTCTTTTCTACATCTTCTACATCAATATGTGTCCCCTCTTCTTCATGTCTCTTCTACATCAACATGTGTCCCCTCTTCTCCATGTCTCTTCTACATCAACATGTGTCCCCTCTTCTTCATGTCTCTTCTACATCAACATGTGTCCCCTCTTCTTCATGTCTCTTCTACATCAACATGTGTCCCCTCTTCTTCATGTCTCTTCTACATCAACATGTGTCCCCTCTTCTTCATGTCTCTTCTACATCAACATGTGTCCCCTCTTCTTCATGTCTCTTCTACATCAACATGTGTCCCCTCTGTGTAAAAAGACTCTGAAAGTTTCAGGAAAAAAGATTCTCTCTCTTTTTGTCCTGATCCACTTTATGATGTCATAACGATGTTTAGTCTTGTGTAACCATTAGCCAATCACCAACCAAGGTAACCCCTTCCACCCCCCACCCCCCTTATCACCTGAATCTCCTCCTAGAGCACCATTGAGTTCTTTGTAACCAAATGTCTCTCAGAGGGGCGTGGGGTGGGGCTCCTTATTTTAATCTAAAGTAACAGACAGAGAATCAGCACTTTGGAAACAGGGCTGAAACAGAGGGGATTATGGGTAATGCTGCCATGATCTGTTTGGTGTTTCAGCCAATCAGAGACAGGCTCTGTATATATCTGAGACCTGTGGTGATTGATGAAGAACAGTATGATAGGCGACCTTTAAGTTCAGCATGTTATCATCAAAGACCGTACAAGAGAAGTGGATATTAT